ATGTTCTCATGATGTTCTCACTGGGAACCACAAAAAAACAGCTAAACACTTAGCCCATGATGACTTGGAACTAGTGGAAGACTTCCTCGCCTTACTCCTCCATTTCACTACAGCAAACAAGGGAGTTAATTCGATAAAAATCAAAGATGGAAAAGCACAGAATTAAAAACAATTTGTACTTGGAGGACTGAAGCTTGTAACTTTGTTCAAGCCCAGTGTAGCAAACATGCAGAACTTGCCAAAGCTGACTCTGAGCACTGTATTCCCTCATTAGTGGCAGTAGGTAAAAACTAGTCAGTAAATGCAACGTTGGCAATTCTTCTAGTTGTTTAACTTTGCAAATCACAACTCTGTCCTTGTTTTTTGGGTTTTCTACTACATTTATTAATTAAAATTGTTTGCTAAGTGGCATAAATAAGTAGCTAGTGTGTTGTTCATAATCTTTGAAATTTGTCATTTTACAGTTTTCCTAATCTCCAGCAGGAATGTGGTTTTGGTGCAGGATAGGAACACTAAATGAAGTAGCAATGATGTAAGAGATTCGTGAATATTCTGCACTGACTCATTTGGATACTTCAAACACACGGATGAAATGATCGTGTGATGGAAGAAAACCAACTTTAGTTGTTTATTTATAAATGGCTGATACCATTGCCACAGGAAGGAAAATGCTCCCAGTGGAGCAGAGACCTTGCTCAGGCAGAGGAATCTGGGACGGCGCAGGGCAGTGAATGCCTGCGGCTGGGCTGCATTCGGGAAATGAATACTCCTCATGTTTGGTTTATACTGCTATGCTTTGCTGCTGTATTTTATTGAATGAGAGTGCCTATTTTAAGATGGAATTTCGAGTGCAAACATTTAATCATGGGAAGAAGTGCAGTGTTAGAAACCTGCATCAGAAAGAAATGTAGAAATGCCTATCTGACTGTTCAGAATGTCACTGTCATCAGTATGTGGTGCGTACATGAGGTCGCTTTGAAACAGAACTGTTTTCAGGCTAGACTTCAGAAATTCATTCGCTTGGTGAAAAATTCCTGTGGAAAATACAGAGTGAGTTTAAGCATTTATCTAGCGAGAATCAATGAAAAATGCAAAAACATGAGCAGATTCAATGAAAACACCCTGGGGACGAGGGAGGTCTCCCTTAAAGGCCTGAGGTTTGAGGTACCAGGAACTAGTTAATCCCACCAAGGAATGCGGAGGAGCTGCCAGATAACAGTGACATTGTTTTTCTCTGATGTCAGCAGAGAAAAACACAAAGAGGTGAATGTAGTCTTCTGAGGGAGCTCTGGAGAAAGCTGAATGTCCAACTTGTGCCCTGCATCCCGTAGCACTTAAAACTGCTGTGCACAAGAGAAGAGTGTTTCCTGGAACCGGGGCTGCCTCTAGGCATCTGTGCAAGACCTCAGCTATGGACGACAGCTGAAGGATCATGAGATGTGCATGTAGCAGCACTGGGAGCTGTATTGCCACTGTCCAGAACCAAGAGGGGTCCATTTCTTTGTCCTCAAGTTCAAAGAATGTGCACTTCTGGTAGGCTTGGCCTTATCGTTGGGTAGATTTATAGCCATCTGTGGGTCATTTTTTACTTTACAGCTCACTGTGAGCCATCTTATTTTCTCCTGTAGCATCCACCTGTTGAGTCTTGCTTGAATAATTCAATTTATTCTGTATTAGGTAGGTGATGGTCCAGGGGATATTTAGATCTAGCTGCAATAGAAGCGTTGTTTCACTTTAATATAGGCAGCACATAAGCTCTTGTATTGGTTCCACAGAGATAGTAATTAAATACTTGATGATATGCTTTGGATTCATAGCTGCTCTTCTCAGCAGCTTGAATGTCCTCTGCCTTGATCCACCTTCCACATGGGAAGTTTCACAATTGGACTGACTGTCCATCACAGCTGAGAAAGCCATAAAGGCATAGTAATATCTGTATTATTCATTTTCTACTATTCTGAGGTCTACAGAAAGGTAAACAAAAAGAGGGAAAAAAGGAAGAGAAGGTTTTAAATTGCTTTGTGTTTTTATTGCTGTGGTTGGTATTAACCTACCCTGCACCCTTGGCTCAGCCTCGTTAAGAGCCACTGCTATTCTGTGCTTTGTCTTAACAGACAAATCAAACAGTTTGTGTGTTGTGTTAATTATGAAAATCAAATTCAGTAATTCCTCAAAAGCTGCTGCTAAAAATCTGTTTTGAAGAAAGCCAGGCTGTTAAATGCTGCTTCCTGACAGGATGGAAATCCATGAGTCGCTGAGGTTATGAATGTCTAGACAGGGAACATGAGAGGAACTATGCTCAGTGGTGAAGGGTCCTCCTTGTCTTAGGCCCCCTGAAACAGATACAGCTGCTTGTGGTGCCTTCTAAGAGTGGACATCAAACACACTATAGTATTATGTGTCACGGGATATAAGCATCCGGAGAGCAGCACATCTCAGGGAGATTGTGCTTACATTCTGAAAACAAATGTGGAGAGCAGGACCAGGTAGCTCCCAATAAAGGTAGTGGAAGTTGCTGGTTTTACTGGGGTAATGCAACCAAGAGAACCTGTCTGGGCTGTTTTTCCTTGAGTATCAAGCCTTTACACCTGACAAGCCCACACTTAGATGGGAAGAATATCCTAGAAGAGGTGCATTTTGTGTCATAGTAAGTAATCTCCTACTGGGCAGTTTAGAAGTTTAGAGTTGTTAGAAAAATCCGAGATTAAGGAAAATGCACTTAAGAAGCAGGCGGGTTAGGCAGGTGTTCAGGGTCTTTCCTCCTAGCTGCGGCTCCGGTCCCTTTGAAGCCTCCGAGGGTCCCGAAGGGAGTTTGGGGTACAGACACTGGTCAGGGACCGAGAGGCAGAGGTAGAGGAGCGCAGACGTTAAAACGCGGACTGCGGGGAGGGGAAGGGCTTTCCCGGCAGGTACTCCCCCTCCAGCGAGGACGGGGCTTGTGCAGCTCTCGGGGCCCGCTCCGCGCGGCTGGTCGCTCTATTCCACGGCCATGCGCGGTGCCGGGGGAGCCCTGAACCGCCGGAAGCAGCTATATAGAGAAAGGGAATACAGGTGTGTGGGTAACTGGGGGCGGCAGGGGCACTAGGGCTGCCTACCTCTGATAGCACGCGGCAAAAACGCCCTACAGCCGGGGATGTAGCTCAGTGGTAGAGCGCATGCTTTGCATGTATGAGGTCCCGGGTTCAATCCCCGGCATCTCCAGGGGCTTCTTTTCCTTTCTTTTTTTTTCCAACCCTTCTCCCCGAAGGAAGAAAACGGCGGCGCGTCTTCCCGGTCGGGAATCCCGAGGGGAAAAGGAAAGGAAAGCGCTCTGGGCTCCCGCCGCAGCGGGTTTTCTGCCAAACACAAAGCGAAAGGGGAAAAAAAAAAACAAAAAACAAAACAGAAATCAAAAGCAAGTTGCATTGGCCGGGAATCGAACCCGGGCCTCCCGCGTGGCAGGCGAGAATTCTACCACTGAACCACCAATGCGCGCGTTCTCTATAATCGTGGAGGGCCCCTGCATACCTCAATCGATCGTCCAGAAAGTTCCTTAGAAAGTGAGCAATGTCTATCTACTTTATTCCTGGAGAGTATTAAAAAAAAACCCAAGAAACTGCATAATACACCCATCATAAAATCACAGAATCCCAGGTTAGAGGGGATCTAGGAACATCTAGTCCAACCCTTCTAGGCAAAGCATGATCTAGACTACCTGGCCCAGCAACCTACCGAGCTGCATCTGAAGTGTCCGTCGCTGGAAATTATTCCATTGGCTGCTTGTTCTCAGTGTGAAAAATTTTCCCCTTGTGTCCAGCCAGAACCACCGCAGGAGTAACCTGTACCCATGACCCCTGCTCTTTTCTGTATGACTCCTTGTAAAAAGGGAGTCTCCATTTTCTTGGTAGCTACCCTTTAAATAGTGGAACATAGTCATAAGGTCTCCCCTAGGCTTTCTTTTCTCAAAGCTGAACAAGCCAAGCTCTCTCAGCCTTTCCTCATATGGCTGCCCTATCCTTGTATTATTATCTCTGTGGCCCTTCCCATCATCCCTTACATTTAAAAGCTTTCAGACCAAGTCACCCAAGGTGTATTTTTATTCCTTTTCCATACCAGAAGGACTGTGCCAGTCAAGGGCTAAGAGGCTCAACTCATGTGATCTACTGATAGAGGAATCCTCACCGTTCAATGCCTGAACTTTGGTCTCTTCGCTGTGTCAACTGGTGTAGCTCTGTGGATCCTGACATTCCAGTGCAGCAGAAATTTGTGCAGTGATAAGATATCCAGAGAACACCACCACTTGCACTGCAATACAGTGATGCCATGTTCTAATATAAATTGTGCACAGTCTTGACATTTAGTTTCTCTTGGTGGCGCTCCCACGAACAGCCACACCAAATTGTTTAAGGAAAAGCAAGATTAAGCGTCTCACATTCATTAAAATATATGTATGAGAAGCACAGCTGTGCTTAAGATATACTTCAGGCAGAATGGGCACCTACCATCAATCATTGCAAAAGAGGTGTTTTCTTCTTCAGAAAACACCTATCTGTATCTGGCACTACAGATAATGTTCCAGGTTCCTGTGTGAACATACATTAACACCTAAAGCTTCCCTATGGAGTCTCCTGCCTGCTTACCAGTCCTGCAGCAGTCACCTAACTCTTCCCAACCACACATTAAGTTTGTGGAAAGGGTGAAATTTTCCTGCACACACAAAGCAGAAGCTGAGCAAAACTTGTGTTCTTAATGAATCTGCAACTTCTTCCTTTCCACTGGCAGAAGGAAACACAGTAAATAATTCAGATAATAACGATTGTTTAGGCTATTGCTTACAGTTGCATCTGTCAGCCTTCAAAAACTGTTTTCCCAGACAAGCGTAGAACCAGAAATCCCAAAGCAGTTAAACAAAAAGCATTCATGTTGAGAAGACTCTTAATTCACTGTTTTAATATAACTGAAAGTTAGTCATGCTGAAGTAATAGCAACCACTGACCAACTCATTTCCCCCCTTCTCCTACTTTTATTCTTTCATTTCTGGAGAGTTGAGGCACTGCAGGCAAAGGTCAGCTGGCAGGGACGAATCGGTGATGTCTCTGCATGGCCATGTGAGAACCAGCTGCAATCTGTAAGAGAGAAGAGTCCTTGGACTGGCTCTCTTGGGCTGATCAGGGTCATTCACAAAACATGCTGTGCTTCTGAACTGCTGCTTGTTGGGGAATCATTTTGCAGAGCATTGCCACAGTAGCAAACTTTGCACTATTAGCAAGCTTCTCTTGTTCCCAGGGTAGAAACAAAACTCATTCTCGCAGTTGTTGTTCATAATTTAGAGAACAGTTTTCCACATCCATGAGACCACAGCTTGCATCTGCTTGGAACATCTGTGGATGTTGGATGACATACTGCAGAGATCTGTGTAAATCAGGAGGAGTCTGGCAACTCGTGCCTCAAGGAGCTCAGAAGTTGCTCTAGAACATGCTCTGGAAACTGTTTTTCAAACTTCATGACACAGGCTCGTACTTGGCTTCCCTTTTAAAATGACCCTATGTAGGAGAGTGCTGAATGAAGGAGAGAATTGAGACCTGTAATATTAGACAATGGTGGTCTGGAGCCTCAGAACTGATGAAAATTTCATAGGATCAGTTCAGCTGATTAAGAATATGCATCTTGTTCCAGTGATACAGTCTTTTGGACATTGTCTTAATCATCACAGTGGTTAGGAGAATCTTCCCTGAAAAACCTCAGTGCAGAAGGAGATGTTCTGTGCAAAGACAGCAGAGCAGTGCAGGACCATCCAGTGAAATTACTGTCTGAAATTTAAATACAGATACTTCATAAAAAAAAATGTGTCTCTAGCTGTCATCTATCAAATATCTGTAATTGTAGGAGTTCAGAAGATGGCTCGAATGGCATCAAGAATCCAACTTCATATAAAGTTATAGAATCTAGGGAAATACTTTTTAGTGAGATTGCTTAAAATGTACTTTTGTACATTTCTACCCAGTATCTGATGAATGGGTGGGAGGGTTTACCTTGTGAGGGACTTGGGACATCATCCCCTTTGGTCTTCTTCAAGTCTTTCAGGCAGCTAAGGAGATGCCACAGACCTTCACCAGAAACAAGGCAAAACTTGTTACAGGAAGAAGGAAAAGGATTTTCTTTGGCCTTTTTATCCCCCAGAAGGGGACAAACACTTTTTTTTTCTATTCTGAGTCCCCTTTAAAGGGACTTGTACCTTGATGCTTCTGCCTAAGGCTTGACACAGTGCCTTCCCATGGGCTTTGCTGCTGCAGAGCCGAGCCGTGGAACTCCAGTCTGCTGTTGACTCTGCGGTATATCTCTGAGGAAGATGCTGTAGCTTAGGGTCACCTGTAGACTCAAACATCCCAAGTTCAGCTGCTGTGGCTGCAGTAGGAACAAGGTAGGGATTAATAGGCAGTGGTGAAACAGCTCAAATCAACTTAAAATTGCAGGTGTGGATTACCTGGGGTGGGGTGAGTGGATAACATTCCCTCTGCCCAAGCACACATGGACCCATGTTCCCATGTCATTCGTTACAATTGCGGCTGTGCAGCCACCTGCTTTAAAACTGGTGTTGCATCAATCCTTATACACATGAAAGTGTGATGCCACAAATGTAGCTGTACTCTTTGCTCGGATGGACCTCTTCATGTGCTGTATGAAATGGAGATCTTGTTAGAAATAATGCCTGAGGAGTAATTCAGGCCTGCCTGAAACATAACATACCTCTCTGTAAGAACCAACTGCCCAATCATTGGTTTCTCATGCTTAACTAACACATACATAGTACTTAACATTACTGGAGAAGTCTAGCCAAGACTTCTTACTGGCCCCCAAAATAATGAAAGATAACTTCAGGCCTTTCAAAATGGCTTCTAAGTCCTCTTCAGTAAAGGCTTGCAAAGTGTGCTCTTTTCTCTGCTTCCAGAGTGCAGAAAAACTATACCATCTCTGGTGAGCTCTCCACTGAGTGGAGTACACGCACATCAACTTGATTTTAACAGGTCACGGAATAAGCCAGGCATTTAAAAATATCCACCTACCCAAAAGGACAAATGAATACATATTGCAGAGCCTTCAGCAAAGATTGTTGAAACAAAACAAACAAAACAACCGTGGTAATCTTTTAGGTAAGACTTATAATGTAGAACAACTTGTCAGTGCAGGTTAAAGTTTTAAGGCCTAGCAATTTTGACAGCGTCCCTTTGAGCACAGTGAGAGCACAGGGACGAGCAGGACAGCAAAAGGTCACTTGGTCACACATACCTGCTGCTTCTTTTAAGTTTATCTCAAGACCCACTAGGCACGTCCCAATTAATTATTTAAATCTGCAAGGAAGAATATGTCTGCAGATGAGCTAGAACAATCTTAAATTCTGGGGAAGCTGCAGGATGGCTGGCATGATCAAAAATCGTGCTAAGAGGAAGCCAGGGCACAATACCCAATCCACAGGCTCGGACACCTAGGGAAGTCATTTACATTCAGTAATGCTGATTTATTTCACGTATCAGCCAAGTGGGAACTTACAGATTTTCCTATATCCTTTCGTTTTCAACTGAACAGTTCTGGATTACAAAAGGTCACCAAACTCAAACTGATAATGATATATGTGGTTATTTAAAATAACTTTTCGCAACCCAAATATTGATTATGTTGCTGGCAATCTGCATAAATTCCTTATAAATCTGTGGACACCCTGAAAATGTTTGTCCCAGGTGCAGTTCAAATGGTGACAAACAAAAGCCATCAGGCAAGCAATGCTAGTGAAACAGGCATTGGAACAAGAGCCCCAAATCCTGCCTATTTATTATGTACTGGAATATAGGTGAGGGATTTCAAAGTGATTGTATATATCTTTGAATAAGTTTTCTAAGCTTTTCCCTAAACAATTCAATGGACAACATACCTGGATAAAAAGTGTATTTTCACATGGGCTGATTCTGGCCTGTCACTGTCTGAGAGAAAAAAAAAAATACAGCACAAATTCCAAAAAGCTTTTTGTGTTCTATTTTCTGAATATAATCTCTCACTCTGGCACAAATGAAGACAAAATAAATCACGTTTTTCATATTTCCTGCCACAACAAAGGTATTTAAACAATAGAAAATAAACACTCCTGAATAATCCAAGCAGTCTTGCTTTCTATAAGATACTGTCTTTCTTTTCTCTCTCTCTCTCTCCCAGTGAAATTCATGTTCTCTGTTAGACCTACCTCAGCTGTTTGCCCTAGAAGAATATGGATACTCCACATGGCTCCTTTTCACTGCCTAGCTCTCTAGTAGTTGCTTGTGCTGCAGGGAGAGGGCAATTAATTATTGCATTTGTTCTACAACAATGAATGTGACCTGTCACCTTATTCTTTTAAGACTGCAATTTTTTGCATTTGTTTCTGTGATTCAGCCCTGATGTGTTATCTTTATATAACAGCAAACAATGAGACACAATCATGATAGTAACACATTAGTTTTAATACAAAAATGAGGCACTTTCTCTTTTCAGATACACATGTGCACACAAACACCAAGGACGTTTTAATCTGTTGCATGGGAGGGGGAAAATGACTCAACACCAGCAATACAACCTGGCTCAGCCAGCAAACTGGCTGAGTACATCTCGTGTGATGTACTACAGTTGTATTTCTGAATGATACCAGACACCAGCAGCCAGAGATGGGAATACTTTTAATTATTTAATCATGGCCATGACTAGGTACTGTTATTTTATAATGGGAGGACCTACTGCAGGTCCTGCTTGAAAAAATCTCTGTAGAGAAATTCTGCTTCTGTTTCTGTCACTTCATTTCAAGTCTCCTGCCATTATTACCTCTTGCTCCTCCCAAAGACTTTTTCCTGAAGACAGATTAGGAGAAAACATATTTGTGAACATACAAACAGATTTTCTTCTTATGATACATAACACTGGCATATAGTCAGGCAACGGTGATAATCTTTTTCTCCATCTTCACTTGCTAATGAAGAGAAACTGCCTCCGGGGTTAAGGAGAAAAGGTGAACTCTCCCTGAACACAATTTACAGCTGCTGAGCACATGATTTCGGGCATCTAAAATTCTTGTCTTGGCACGTGTCCCAAGGACCAAGCCACATGCATGGAGACTTAGAAGGTAGTATTTTCATCTAGACATTACATAAAAAAACAGACTCAAGATGGATGAATTGTGTGGTACTTTCAGGTATCTAATTTTTTTTTTACCTAATGTTGTCAAAATCTGCCATTATTCAAACTTATAAAGACCAACCTTTACCAACCAGTAACTAAGTTAAAAACCCAGCTGGAAAAGTAACTAAGATAAAAAGATAATGGTAGTTAAAGAAGCATAATAAAGGGAAGAAAGAACAACCCATCCCTTGCTTGGGGGTAGCTGAACATGTGAACAGGTAGAGAACCACTCCTGGAAAGGGAGATTGCTAGAAAAATGGGATCCTTATAAAAGTTTTCAGTCATTCTTGGATTTACCTTATACGAGAACAGCAATAAGGCACTTGCGTTTTTTACTGCCCTTTAAGATTTTCCTGGCTCGGAAGAGTTCGTGAAACACAGAAGTGCTGGGGTGCAGAATATATTTACTTGGGAACTGGATGTACACATATTTTACACTTATACGCTGCCTTGTTCTGAATCGATCAAAAATTATCGTAAATTGATACTGACAATGCAGCCACATCTGGGTAGACAACAACCCTGAGGCGTGGGAGGGTAACAAATTTGTGATGATGCTTTGAATAGTTGTTAGAGACAGACAAAACAACATTTAGTATCATGTTAGTACAGACATATATGGGGTAGGTATTCACACCTAGAACTTGTGTGTGTTGGATTATGCTGAAATTATTCAGCACAAATTGCATTTAAATCCATTTTCTCTCAGTCCAATTACTCTTCTTCCTCTCTCACACTCTAAAAAAAAAAAAAACCAAACAAACAAAAAACACACACAAAAAAAAACCAACAAAAAGCCCAACCGAAAAAAAACCTGAAATCCAACCAAACTATACTCTAAAAAAAAAAACAATGAATCCACTTTTGGGCCTTTTCCTTTCATTGTCCATTCATTCTGTCCAGCTGAGGTACTCCTGTAGATTTTAAGCTCGAGTATCTGTTGAATACACTAATTCCAGCTGCCACTAGAGACCTTATTTCCTTATAAGAGCACTGCCATGTGCCTGGGGTAAAAACTGCTTCCAGCACTGGTGGCCTGAATATCACTTACTTTGCAAAACTTCTGAAATCCAACCCTTGCAGTTGTTCACTGACTTTAAATGCTACCTAGAGAATTGACAGCCATACCTTGCTATTGCAGCATCCAGTTTAGGTCATCTGGTTATATCTGACCCAAGAGGGAGGGATTAGGTTCCTATGGCCTTACCAGATGGGACCTGCTACTGACATTTCACTGGCTGACAGGAACAGGGAGCATGCCAGAAGGATAGTGGGAGGGAGGCGTGGCCCATCCTTCATGGCAGCAGCAGGTTGTTTTACTGTGCCTGATAGAAAACACGTCTCATGCTGCCTATAAAGCACGTTGACTAAATAGTAAGCATGGAAGAACAGCGATAAAAGCACTTTCTGGGAGACAGCCAAGAAGCACAATTAGAGGCACTGCTGATCCCTGTGTGCCTGGAAAGCAGGGAACCACAGGGAGTACAGTGTAAAGGGTGTGGAGAGGCCCTGCATATGTGACACCAACTGCAACAGGCAACTGATACAGCAGTATGTGGGCAGAGACAGACTTGTGATGGGCTTACAGGTATAAACAGTCATATGATCAGCTTGTGGTTTTGCCCTTCATGGAAAAGGAGATCCCAAATTCTTGTGGAACCACAACTGCAGTGCACTAATAATGTAAAGTTGCATGGAAAAAAGCCACAGCTAAAAGTTTAACAATGTGTTTTGGGGGAGGAGGAAGAACCTGGCTTATCACTAATGTGTGTCTTGCTTTCTCACTGCAAAAGAAGCAACAGGCAGGAATCTCCAGATGATTCCTCAAAAAACACCTAGCTATATTGGCCAGCTGCATCCCTAGGACCCTGGAGTGTGGGAACAAGGATGAGAAACAAAGATGACCGTTAAAGACCATAACTCTTAGAATCAGCTCTTCCAAGTCTTGTCATTTGGTATCACAGAACAGAAAGAAGAATGAGGGGATACAAAATCATAGAATCACAGACTGGTTTGGGTTGGAAGAGACCTTAAAGATCATCCAGTTCCAAGCCCCCTGCCACAGGCAGGGACAACTTCCACTAGATCAGGTTGCTTAAAGCCCCATCCAACCTGCCCTTGAGCACTGCCAGGGATGGGGCAGCTACAGCCTCTCTGGGCAACCTGTGCCAGTGCCTCACTGGAAAACACTTCTTCCTGATATCTAATCTAGATCTGTAATCTTCTCAGTTTAAAGCCATTTACCCTTGTCTATCACTACCTGCCCTTGTAAAAAGGCCCTCTCCAGCTTTCTTATTGGCCCCATTAGGCACTGGAAGGCTGCTTTAAGGGTCTCCCTGGAGAGATCCCAACCCCAGCTCTCTCAGCCTGCTGAAATGTCTCAAGGTATCACCCCATCGGCAACTTACAAGCCTTACACAAGTGCCCAGGGATGCTCAAGACTAGGAATCTGCTGTTTTGGAGAGGTAAAGAACTGTGAAGCTTTCAGCTCAGGAAGCCCTCAATAGAGAAAAACAAGCCTGCATACCCCACGCTGCAAAACTAAACTGAGATTCACCTTGTCCAGCACTTGTGCTCCGAAGTTCCCTCTCTGTCACAGGGCAAGTGTCACCCTGTGATAGGCTCCTGAGGGCCTGCTGTGCAGCCTGCCTGCAGGTAGAAACTCTGGCTTTGCTGAGCAGCTGGATTAGCTGCTAAACTTTGCTTCTGCCAAGTCCGGTAGAAATCGGGAGCTCACTGGGGCTCATGAGAAGTTTCAGTTGAAGTAAAAGTGCTGGCAGGTGTATAAGGACGCTGAATCATCATTTCTCAACTATCTTCATGCCATACTGCCACAGTATGTGCACTGGAGAGGACAACTGAAAGATATGAGAGCTTCTATATATCCATTATGCACATCGTATATTTTTTTTTCTGTCAAAGGTGCATCCTCAGAGATGTAGCATTTTTCTGGTATAGGATTTCCTCTGTGAATCATCCAGGTTATGAATATTACAGCTCTACTACAGGTCAAGAGATGTGTCGGAAAGGTCCTCTCTCTGCTGCACTGTTTACTTACCCACTATGCAAGCAGTGAAGGATCTACAGTAAACAAATGGGCATTAATATATATTAATATAATGGATCTGTTCCCCATAAGGAAGAAACCTCTGGTGACCCGAAAGCGAATCACCACCAGAATTCCTCAGAAACGACGATGATCAGTTCATTCAAATACGAGTTCCCGGCTGAAAGGCAAGGGCGAGCAGCCCCAATGCCCGATGCCCACCGGAACCAGGGCCGGGGCCGGAGCCGTGGAGGGAGCCGCGCCCGCCCAGCCGGGGCCGGAGCCGGAGCCGGAGGAGGGGCCGGGCTTCACGCCGCTCTCTTCAGCGCCGGAGCGGGAGGCGGGAACAGGCCCCGGCAGCGGGGCCTAGCACACGCGTTTTCCCCTAAGGCGAGGAGGCCTCCCGCAGGGTCCGGCTGCGATCTGCCGCCCGGGCCCAGCGGCGGGCAGGGAGGGGAGGTGCCGTTGCCGTGAGGGCGGAGCGAGGCGGGGGCGGTGAGCTGCCGGCGGCAAGACGAGGTGTGCCGCGGCCGGAGGAGGCGCGCAGGTAGCCGCCCGGCATCCCTCTGCAGCCCGGAGAGGGAAGTGAGCTCGCCCGGGGTCCTGCAGTAAGTGGCGGTCGGGGCTGGCGGCGGGGGTTCGACAGCGGGAGGGGAGCGGAGTTCTTGCACCTGGGCCCGGCCGCGGAGAGGAGCAGTCCGGGCCTCGGGGCTGGCTCTGCGGGAGCCCCCGCCGCGGGCGCTGCCCCGGCTCGGAGGGTTTTTCTGTGCGCGATCTGTACCGGACGCACGTGTGGTAACCGAGGGTTAAACCGTAAAGTTCCTTTTATTATAAATCGCATCATTACCTTCTTTTTGCTTCCCCAGATCTTACTTTTGCAATGCACAGTAGGAGTTTGTGCTGCCAAGGGCTGCCAGCCCCTTCTCCCTGTTTTATTTAAGCTTTTGGGTGGAAAAAATAGTAAAAAACTGGATTGTGTGGTTGTTTCATGGAAGTGGTACGAAGTCCGTGGCAGCTGTCCCGCTTGCCTGTGCGTTTTCACCCTGCTCAGGGACTGAGCTCCATCAGCGTTCTCGGACATAGAGGCACAGCCCCGGTGTCTATTTGCACTTTTGTGGGTATCTACGTATAACAAACAGGTTTGCAGAACTCATCAACTAGATTTTATTTCTTAGACCTGGTAGATTACAGTGTCTCCTGTTATTAAAAAAAAAGTGAATTCTGGACAAGGAATAGCGTAGCTGTAGTTAGTCTGAACTTTGGAAAATGAGAGTTACTTCTCACGTTGAACTTATTAAGGGGACCATTTCTGGATGAGACCATATCAGTCTTAACAAGTAAGCCCTAAGCTTTGTTGCATTCTTACCACTTCAGTAGCCATTTATAAGACCATGACTAGGAAAAGATATAAACGTGTGTATGTGGAGACTCTGAGTTTAAAGCAGCCACTTATTACCTGTGGAACTTACTCTGCTGTTTACTGTAAACTGGTAGTACATGTGTATTGAAAGAGAGCTGCTTTCCACCTGTTGCTGGGAAGCAAGGGTTCCCTCCACTCTGAGGGCTGCATTTTTCTCTCTACCCTGCTCCTTGCTACATGCCCTAGTCTCTGTGCTGTGGTGCGAGGCCCTCATATCAGGGAGCTGTACCTGCTGCGCCTGTGCAAGGCTTTCTTGAGGGGCAAAGGCATTGAACTGTATCAGGAGTGGTGGCAGGAACACATCTCCACCCTTGCTCAGTTGCAGTGGATTCCCAGCTACTCACAGGACAGCTGCAGACGTAAGAACTGCTTTCTATTGAAGGCCTGGAGCACTGCAGTTGCATGAGTCTGTTACTGCTACAGACTCTTGCATTTCTCTTTTAGTGGTCCTCGGGGTCATGGCTAGACTTTTCTGTATATCTTGTTTTCATTCTCCGTGTTTGCAGTCTGCTTCTGCACTTGGATCTCTTTGAGCCATGACTGCTAGTGGGCAACAGGGTTTCCATCCAGAAGGTTTCCTGCCTGAGCGGTTTGCCCAGGTAATCACAGAAAGTTTGGCCTCAAGATTCTGAAGTCCATTTGTGAGGTGATCTTCTGACCATGGATAAGAAGAAAGCTTGGAAACCCAGCTGTTCAGAGCATGGTGTATTTTTAATTGACATTAATCACCTTTTCTCACTTATTCATAGATACGGTTCCTCAGAAATGTTTAGGGATGAGCAGGGACTGACAGTAAAGATGCAGTCTGATATTTCAAGATTTCTAAGGGTTGATAGCTAAGGCAAAATCCAGTATTGTCTCTTCTGAAATAGCAATAATTAGAATATAATTAATGTCAGATGTTACCAATTTTTTTTAGTTTAACTTTGGATGAAAGTTTTGAGTAGACACGCATGAAAAATTCTACACACACCTTCTGTCCAACTTACAGTGTAACTTTGTATATATATATATGGGTATACACTTGGGTTTGCTTAATTATGTGTGCATATGTATGCATGTGCAGGACCATAGTAATAATAACTTTGTGATCTAGGCCTGTTTTACATAATGTAATTTTATCTAGGAGATCCATTTTTACCTGGTAATTTGTCACCAACAGAAATTTGGAAAGCTGGATGGATGTGGTAGGTTCAATGGCCGTTAAAGCAAACCACTTTTCCAAATGAAAGCTCATGCAGGTTCCTTTCTGCCCCCTCCTTTGTCTTCACACAAGTCTCTGCAAGCTTTAGCAAATATTTAAAAGAAACGTTCCTTTTCCACAGTCAGTTTGCAGTAGTTACTTTCTACTTTCACAGAAATATCCCAAGGGTTTCAAAAGAAGGGTTTGCATTTGCAAGTAGCTCTGTTAAGCAACAGCTTACTTTTATGGCAGTGCTTGTTTACATGCTGGAGAAGAGGACTTGGAGAATTATTTTACCTTTTCTAAAATATACAGGCCTGTGCTGCACCCAGTTTCAACCTGAGGTCCGATAGCCTAGTTGTATAATTCAGTTAATTTCTGTATGTTGTTTAGCCTTTGGCTGTAGTGTGAGCCTGCATTTTTCTAGGGATTAGCTTTATCGCTGTGGGTGTGCCCACTGCATCTGATGGGACCTCATGGGTGTGAGTGGGACTGCAGCCCTCTGCTTCCAGAAGGGTAAGGATAGCTGTGCCCATGACTGACCTGGGCACCTGCCTGTTCCCTTCCTTGTGGGCATGCTCAGGAGGGTGGGAGACAGCCAACAAGCCAAGTGCTGGGTAAAGAGGGAAACTAACGCAAAATAAAAATTAGTGGCTGAAAAAAAGAAAGACTGAAGCAGGAAGTGGAAAACTGCTCGCCTTTTAAAGAAGGAAGGCCTTGTGCGCTTGAGCTGCTCCATGGGTATTTGTGGGTCCAGTCTGTAGCTGCTTGAGGGTAAATGATGCAGGGCACATGGACACCATGGAGACTGTGGTCTCAGCACCAGCCATTTGCTGTAGGGGTCCGCTGCAGCTGTGCCACAGATCTTGCTAATGTAGATGTAGCCTATTTCTTCTAAAAAGTGTTACTTTAGAAAATAGTTGTTATTATGTAATGAATAAACAATTTGAAATCAAAACTCTTACAGTATCAGGGTATTGCTTCTAGAAGCATTCTGTATCCTGACATAACTTCGAGCCAGGTTCTCAAGTAACTCTCAAAGGGGTTTCCAGATGCCAGATGCGCTTGCTCCAAGTTATCTCCAGATACTGCTGATTGCTGATGGAGCCCGCCCAGGTTGTCCTTTCTCTGCTCTCTCCAGGTACAAAGTCTTGAGCTGTGCCACCCTTTTCTTTGCTTGGCAACGTGTTTCTCAAACCAAGGGTTGATTCTGATTTCGAAATGTTACTGAATGTATGCCCCTCCTCTGGGATTAGATTTGTGTATGTGTACTATCAGGTCTCAATCTTTATTCCAATGTATAAAACTAGGCTACTTCCTTGACATGCCTAAGTAACCACCTAACATGTAGCTATTTTTTGAGCAGGTACCTGTTTGTATGTGCAGGTCTATGTCCAGTCTTGTAATAAGCAAACCATTTTCAAATCCTCTCCTCTTTAGTGCTTGACTAAGGTGGGAAAGAAAACCATGGATATAGTTCAGTATTAGGATCAAGCTGTGTTTGGTAGACTGTCTAATGAAATATCTACGTTAAATACAAGGGGAATGAAAAATATCAGAAGAAAGGGTGAACAGCTGTAAATTAACTGGGTTTAACAAGGACATTTGTGTCTAATTACAGTGATTGGTTTATAGATTGATTTATAGTCTACCTGGACTTGTTCAAAGCATTCACCACTGTCCTGCATGACATACTTGTCTCTAAGTTGGAGGGACATCAGTTTGAAAGATGGACCACTCGGTGGATAAAGAACTGGCTGGATGGCCACACGCAAAGAGTTGTGGTCAATGGCTCGATGTCCAGCTGGAGACCAGTAATGAGTGGTGTCACTCAGGGATCGGTGTTGGGACCGGTCTTGTTCAACATCTTTGTTGGTGACATGAACAGTGGGATTGAGTGCGCCCTCAGCAAGTTTGCCGATGACACCAAGCTGTGTGGCTCAGTTGGTACGCTGGAGGGAAGGAATGCCATCCAGAGGGACCTTGAAATGTTTGTGAGGTGGGCTGATGCCAACCTTATGAAGTTTAACCATGCCAAGTGCAAGGTCCTACACCTGGGTCAGAGGCATCCCAGGCGCAGCTACAGGTTGGGCTGAGATTCAGAGCAGCCCTGCAGAGAAGGACTTGGGGGTGTTGGTCGATGAGAAAATGAACATGAGCCGGCTTCAGTGTGCACTCGCAGCCCAAAAAGCCAACCGTATTCTGGGCCGCATCAAAAGGCGTGTGACCAGCAGGTCGAAGGAGGTGATCCTGCCCCTCTACTCTGCTCTTTTGAGACCTCACTTGGAGTATTGTGTGCAGTTCTGGTGTCCTCAACATAAAAAGGACATGGAACTGTTGGAACAAGTCCAGAGGAGGGCCACGAGGATGATCAGCACCTCCCATATGAAGACAGGCTGAGAAAGTTGGGGCTGTTCAGCCTGGAGAAGAGAAGGCTGTGTGGAGACCTCATAGCAGCCTTCCAGTGTCTGAAGGGGGCCTACAAGGATGCTCGGGAGGAGCTATTCATTAGAGACTATAGTGACAGGACAAGGAGTAATGGGTTCAAACTTAAACAGGGGAAGTTTAGATTGGGTATAAGGAGGAAGTTCTTAACTGTGAGGGTGGTGAGGCACTGGAATGGGTTGCCCAAGGAAGTTGTGAATGCTCTGTTCCTGGTGGTGTTTAAGGCCAGGCTGGACTTAGCCTTGGGTGACATGGTTTAGTGTGAGGTGTCCCTGTCCATGGCAGGGGGGGGTTGAACTAGATCATCTTAAGGTCTTTTCCAACCCTAACTATTCTATGATTCTATAGGATTTGCAAGTTGTTATTATTGTGTGTGTGGTGGGGGTAAAGATCAACCATAAACCCCACTAATAGAGAAAGCAAGAGTGAGTATTTGAACTGTTTAAGTTAAATACAGTAGCACAAGAACAAAAAAGTATGGAAATCATACTCTGTACATTTTGTCAGTAATCAGGCCAGAGACTGTTTTTTCCACTCCTTGGATGGCAGATTTCGACGCCATCGTTCAACAAGACAGGAGGGAATTTAAATAATTTTAGCATGAAATTTGATAGATATATTATGATGTTTATATGGTGGGAAAGCTCAGTATACTCATGACCTCAGTGTTTCTTTGTATTCCTGTTAGTTCCTGGGTAAAGTGCTGGGGATTGCAGTCATCTCTGTCTGTAGGGATTGCCTTTTTCTCAGAAACACGTTGCTTTCTCTGTCTGAAAACCCAGTAAAGATCTGCAAATCAGACTTTTGCTGTCATGATCTGTAATACATTTTTTTGGGGTAGGAGGGTAACAAAACAGAAGAAAAAGAAGTGGTTAGGTTAAAAATATAAATAGTGGAAGGAGAAGCTCCTTGTATGGAGCTTAAAGCAGGTGGGGTATTGTGTAATGCTGGGTGTGAAAATCTTGGTACCTGAGCACAGAAAGGAAATTAAGTAGTTTGAAACAGTGGGGACCAAGAAAAGTGATGAGGACAGTATGCCCATTTCTTGCTTTATTTTTCTGCATAACAAGCGCTGCAACTACTTTTGGGCATGGCACATAGGGAGGATTTTCCCATATAAGTAGACTGCTGCTTTGCTCCCCCTGATTAGTGCAGGGTGAACTGTAGTTGTTTCAGGTTTTAATCTGATGTACAAGGACTTACAATTTTGTGGTGTTGTCTGTGGCTGTGAGGGACCTGTAACCCTGTGAGCTGTCTATAGATATTGTAGGTTATGTTTCTGTGCTTGGTTGGTGAGGTAGTTCTTGGATAATTCCTTAACTAAAAGTACTGTAACTTGTATTTAAGAACCTGAAGTAGCCATCAGAGGTTTTAGGAGAGGATCTGGAGGGTGGACTCTGCTAGGTTTTGTACACATGGGAACTCTTCCATAGTGTGCAGCTTCATTATAGATACGGATTACAGGAGTTACAGGTAGAAGCCATGAGTGCATGAGTCAGTGGCCCAGAATTCTGCTGGTGAGGTAGATAATGAGCTCTGGTTGCCCTTCAAAGCGTGCTGCTTTGTTCTCTTGTTTGCTGTAGTTACTAGATTGGTTAGAAGTAGTAGCACAGTGCAGGCCAGAAGACCAGGCCCATGTCAGCTGAGGAGAGATGCTTGATGACTGTTAGGAGTGCTGCAGGTGAAGCATCTTCTCTTGGATTGGTTTAAGCTTTATCACTTGCTTTTAAG